CCCACCTCACAAGGGGGCACAATCTCAGCAAGAATCCTTGGACCATTTCTTTCCCAACAACCGCCAGCCTGAGACGGCTCCTTTGGTAGTTCACACACATCACGACTTCCAGCCTGCTGTGAGTGCCCAGGTGTCATCAACGTGTCCTTCGTTCTAGTATCTGCTGCAGCTTGCTGTAGTGCCAATTCAGATTTAAGTCGCTATTATGAAAACAGCTAGCAACAGCAACTGAATGTAAACAAATTCTGAGATCAGGGTAGTTGTCACAGGTGTGGTGGCTTTTGGAGAATGGACAAAAAAACAAAACAAAACACCATAAAACCCTGAAACAATTTCTTTAGGTTGTTATCCTGCCAGTGAGCAGAACAAACTGAATGTACACAACATGATAATGATAAAAAATTGGCTTCTTTTTATGGATTAGCACATTATACTAATTTGTTTGGTTAATGTATTGATCCATGTAATATGTATTTCCAGACAATAGATTAATTGAATAACCATGCTAAACGGCTTGCATGAATATCATCACTGGATTTTTCTTCCATTTTATCTTGAAATAGATTAGGTTAGCAGATAATGATTCGCCCCAAAACAGTGAGAATCAATGAGCTTCAGAACTGAATCAGAATTTGAAATCTCCTAATCACTACTGGCTGCTTTTGAGGATGTAGATAATAATAATAATAATAATAATAATAATAATAATAATAATAATAATAATAATAATAATAATAATAATAAAAGTTGGAAGGGACCTTGGAGGTCATCTAGTCCAGCCCCCTGCTCAGGCAGGAAATCCTATACCATTTCAGACAAATGGCTGTCCAGTCTCTTCTTAAAAACTTCCAGTGTTGGAGCATTCACCACTTCTGGAGGCAGGTTGTTCCACTGGTTAATTGTTCTAACTCTCAGGAAGTTTCTCCTTAGTTCTAGGTTGCTTCTCTCCTTGATTAGTTTCCACCCGTTGCTTCTTGTCCTGCTTTCAGGCACTTTGGAAAATAGCTTGACTCCCTCTTCTTTGTGGCAGCCCCTGAGATATTGGAATACTGCTATCATGTCCCCCCTTGTCCTTCTCTTCATTAAATTAGACATACCCAATTCCAGCAGCCTTTCCTTATATGCTTTGGCCTCCAGTCCCCTGGTCATCTTTGTTGCTCTTCTCTGTACTCTTTCTAGTCTCTCAACATCTTTTTTACATTGTGGTGACCAAAACTGGATGCAGTATTCCAAGTGTGGCCTTACTAAGGCATTGTAAAGTGGTATTAATACTTCACGTGATCTTGATTCTATCCCTCTGTTGATGCAGCCCAGCACTGTGTTGGCCTTTTTGGCAGCTGCAGCACACTGCTGGCTCATATTTAAGTGATTGTCCACTAGGAGTCCGAGGTCCCTCTCACAGTTACTACTATTGAGCAAGGTACCCCCTATACTATACCTGTACATTTGGTTTTTCTTGCCTAAATGTAGAACCTTACTTTTTTCACCATTGAATTTCATTTTGTTAGATAGCGCCCAGTGTTCAAGTCTGTCCAGATCCTCCTGTATCCTAAGCCTGTCTTCTGGAGTGTTGGCTATTCCTGCCAGCTTGGTGTCATCTGCAAATTTGATGTTAATTAACCTCCCCAAAAAATCACAAAAAACCCCTGTTAAGATCCATCTAGGCAGCAGTGAGCTGAAAAACTGGTCTGGATAACTTGCATTTGATAAGAGCAGATACTTTCCATTGCTAGGAAGTCACAGCAGGTATCAACCAAATGACATATTTATCCTGGCTCTTCCTGGCATGTGATTGTCTGTTTGTTTTTTCAGCTGCATCTTATAGCCCTGAATGGTCCCCAGAGTGGCAGCATGCGAGGCATCCGAGGAGCTGATTTCCAGTGTTTCCAGCAAGCTCGGCAGGTTGGACTATCTGGCACTTTCCGAGCATTCCTGTCCTCTCGGCTGCAAGATCTCTACACCATAGTGCGCAGAGCAGACAGGAGTACGGTGCCAATTGTCAATCTCAGGGTAGGTTGGGTCACAGATCTGAGCAAATTAAGCTTCATCAAAGAACTGAGAAGATAATCTATTGCCTTTAAAGGACAAAATACTGTGATCCCAAAAAGCAAGATCAAATCATACAGACTAAACTTAGCTCCTTCCCCCCACCCAAACAATTGCAGAAAAAGATATACTATGTAACTAGTTAATTGATCTTGGTTTAAATAAGACTTTGCACAAGATAGCTCAGCAGGGCTATCAGCAGGGGATCAAATATTTTTCCCCTCACTATAGATGATAGATAGATAGATAGATAGATAGATAGATAGATAGATAGATAGATAGATAGATAGATAGATAGATAGATAGATAGATAGATAGATAGATAGATAGATAGATAGATAGATAGATAGATAGATAGATAGATAGATAGATCACAATATTCTTCTTGGTAATGTGAAAACAAAAGTGTTTATCAAGGTCAAATCAGCCATGCAGAAAGGCAACTGGGCATCACATGTTTTGTGATGAATTTAGTTTAACATTTTTGTAAATGCTTCGACCAAAGGATAAAGGAAAAGCTTGTAATGTTTTCAGATGATATTACAGTACAGCAAACAGGATTTTGATGGATGGAAATGTAAGACAAAACCTGAGAAAATTGAGTGGATATATCTGATGTCTGTCTTTCAATAGGAAGGGTCATTTGCACATATAAAGGATCCATAATAACTGACAATAGTAAAAGTTGTGAAAATAATTTTTGCTACAAACTAAATATGAATCAGCAGGGCAGGGCAGGAGCTGAAATCCTAGAATAATTCTAGATTGCCTCTATGGACATTTTATTCCATAGATATAAGTAGACTAGAATAAAATGTCCATAGAGGCAATCTAGAATTATTCTAGGACTTCAGCTGCTGCCCTGCTGGTTCATATTTAATAAAATCTCTCCTGGGATATAGTAGAGTGTTAAATACAGATATTTTAACGATATTGGGGTGTGTTTTTTTAAATTTATGGTGGTATATAACTATTGATGGTTTTGATGGAACATGGCTAATAAGATGGTAAACATGGCAAGGGATTAGTTTTAAAGCTATTTTTTTAAAGCAAAGGTGAATTACGGTAATCTTTGACTTACAATAGTTTGTTTAGTGACCATTTGAAGTTAAAAACAACACTGCGTCCCTGTGGTCATGTGATCAAAATATAGATGGTTGGTAACCGACTCATATTTATGATGGTTGCAGTGTCACCTTTTGCAACATCTGACAAGCAACTTCATTGGGGAAGCCAGATTCACTTAACAACCATGTTACTAACTCAACAACTGCAGTGATTCACTTAACAAATGGGACAAGAAAAGTCATAAAACAGGGGAAAAACTCAACAAATTTCTCACTTAGCAACATAAATTTTGGGCTCAATTATAGTCCTAAGTCGAGGACTGCCTGTAGTATGGCAAATAAAATTCAGCTCTGAGCAATGCAAGGTACAGCAAAGAAGTAATTACATTTTTTGTCATTATGGAGCAATCAAAATCGACTATAATAAATTAGATGACAGTTTGTATAATATCTCTCTTTACAAGAACAATTTTTACTTACAATAGGCACTTGATCATGGCCTTTAAAAACCATTTGACTCTGCTTTCTTTAAAAAAAAATCTTTAATGCCTTTGTCCAGATCAACAGGTTCTACTTTGGACATTGAACATTTAATTACCAAAGAATATTCAAAAATTAATTTAATACAGGTAGTCCTCAACCTGTGATCACAACTGAGCCCCAAATTTCCATTGTTACACAAAGCCCTAAGTTGTGCCCCATTTTATGGCCTTTTTTGCCAGTTAAGCAAATTACTGTGGTTGTTAAGCGAATCTGGCTTCCCCCAAACCGACTTTGTCGGAAACTGGCTGGAAAAGTTGCAAATGGCAATCCCATGATCCCAGGACGCTGCAACTGTCTCGTTTCCAGGCGCCTGAATTTTGATCACCTGACCATAGGGATGTTGCAACAGTCATGTGTAAACCAGTCATGTCATTTTTTTCAGTACCGTTATAACTTTGAATAGGTGCAAATCGAGGACTATCTGTAGAAGCTTAAACCATTCTTGGCATCCCCAAGATTTAGAGTGCTTCAACCTAGCAAGTCTTCAGACTATCTCTAAAAATCTGTCTTTTCTCCCAAGCTCTGGGCTATATTAATTAATGAGCCCAAGGAGATATTATTCCCCTTTGTGTTTCAGTCTATTCTTATGTTCTTTCTTCAGGTATTATACTAACTTTAATTTTATGCTGCCCAGAGTCTGTATTAAGTGTGGCTTTATAAAATAAATGAACCAATGAATGAACAAACGACTGATATACATATTCCCAAGGTTATGGACAAGGAGAATTTTCTAGATATGTCACCCAGGTTCCTTCAATTGGAAATAGGAAGGAATTTTGACAGATGCCGTCTCAGTGATCTATAGATTCTTGAAATGGAAAGCTCTGACTAAAGAACATTTCTAGTCAGAAAATGTTTTTTGGAATACTGCTTAGGCAAACGCATTGCTCTGTTTTGTTTCTTCTCAGGATGAAGTGTTGTTTAATAACTGGGAGGGCCTATTCTCGGGTGCTGAAGCTCCATTCAGAACTGGGGTTCGCATCCTCTCCTTTGATGGAAGGGATGTCCTGAGAGACTCTGCATGGTAAGTTGGGGCTGAGGAGAGTGGTTTAGTTTCCAGTGAAGATTTTGGAATGTGCTTAGATTGTTAATTTGTTCTACTTCCTGTGGAGTGGCACAATGTTTTCAAAGGCATCCAAGGTCTCTTTTCTGATTTGTAAGCAATACGGTTTATGTCCCCACCCCACCCCTTCCCCAACCCGCATGATGCATTTTATTAAGACAAGGGATGCAGCAATGAAATGCTTTTGTGTTACCTAGCCCTTTAGCAACATTTATTTGTATACTTTGGTGCAGAGCAGAGCAGATGTTTTGTGTGAAGCCACTATCTGGCCCCAGCCTATTTTTCCTTTCCCTGGGGTTAGGTAGTAAGATTTGCTCAGATTTTCTTTAACTTTATGGAGCATGAGTAGTGGTCACAATAGCTGAGGCACTATTAGGCACTACAAATCTTATACAAAAATCATGGTCCACCAGGCAGGGAGGCAGAGTTCATGCATGAGATTAAGCCAAGGGACGGTTACACTGTTATGAACCTAGCCACTACTCTTCAACCACGATTTATTCCTTATTAAATTGCACTGACCCAGCCAAGTAGAGTTCACTCAATTATAGCTAAACAGTAACATAGAAGGGTATATGAACACAGTCATGGTGGTTCTGCGTGTGAAATGGCCTTAACGTGAGTGCGTTTTTCAGGCCTCAGAAGTATGTGTGGCATGGCTCCGATTCCAAGGGACGGCGACTAACAGAGAGCTACTGTGAGACATGGCGGACAGATGACACCGTGGTGACTGGCCAGGCTTCCTCGCTGGCATCAGGCAAGCTGCTCGAACAGAAGAGCAACAGCTGCAGAAACGCCTTTGTCATCCTATGCATCGAAAACAGCTTCATGACTTCCAAGAAATAGAACCCCTGAATGTGCTGATTGCAAGTGGAGGCCGGGAGTCCAAATGTTCCCCCTTCTGCAATGGGGAGCAGGCAGGGGATTCCTCCCCCTCCACCGTCAATCAGGACAATGCGTCCAGCCAGTTTCATAATATAGCAACCAAGCAGATAAATGAACAAGAAAGCCAAAGAGCGTCTGCATATGATTTCCAGCACAGATGGATGCTGTTGTTTTTTTTGTTGTTGTTCTCGTTTCCTCTGAGCACCGCTGCTGGGGGGGCTCAGGCAGAGCAGGATTGTATGCAAGGCAGTCTCCAGGCAAGGTCAGCTCCCAAAATGGTTCTGTTTTTCTCTCTCTCTCTCTCTCTCTCTCTTCTGCCCTTACAGTATGTAACATTTGATGGCCTTTTTCTTGTTATCCTAAAGCTTCCCTGATCGCCTCCCTTTCCCTCTTGCCTTAAAAGAGAAAACCCAGGTCAAATGGGATGTCAGAGATCTATTTATTTTTACTGACTCAGTACAAAATGGCTTCCCCAAACAGGGACGTGCTGATGGTGCTGCCTTTGGAAGCCCCCATTGTGAGCGTGTTAAATCCCAATCACTTGGCATTCAGGATACCATCTGCTCTTCTGTTAGGAGCTAAAGGAAACATATTATCTTGCTGAAAAATCCATGAACAAAATTAAGAGTTTTCTAGTCCCCAGGCAGGCTTTCCTGAATCTGCCCCGCATAACCTCAAAAACATCCTTTTCCAAAAATGTTGCCCTGGCAACTCTGCTGGCCCTGCCAGCTGGCTCAACTGCTTTTGCTTTTTTTAAAATTTTCAGACACAGAAGGAAGTAACATTGCTCCCTTCAAAGGCTATTTACAATTCCTGCTACAGAGATGCTACAACATCCTTTGCAAAAACAGGGTCAGAAGAGAGAGACGAAGAACACTAGTCGTTATTAAGCCCCATTCTCCCCATGTCCTTTAATTGCCCATTTCTTGTTCTTCCAAGAGACAGGAGTATTAAAAGGAACAGCCTTAAAGGTAATTTAGGTGTAGGATTTTCCTTAGAGGCCTGGAGGGAAGGAAATTTACCACACAAAAAGAATCTGTATTTGTTCCTTTATTGAGGATTTTTTGTTGTTATTGTTAAAAATATTTTTCTTCTCCGCTTTGCAGGGAAGTTGCCTTTCTTTACCTTTGCCCAGAAACTGGGTTACAGCGAATTCTGGGGAGCCCCAGAGTTTCCATTAGTTACCAAAGCCCTGCCAATTTTGTCCCTTGGCCCTGCTGATAGCAGCCACCCCTTGGAGAGAGAGTTTGTTCTATGCTGATCAACCCATTCAGCTTTAAACATCAGCTACAAAATACCAGGGAGCACATAACACGAGCAGTCTCTGTCTTTGAAAAGTAGTTGCCAGGTAACAGTAGAATAGACAAGAAAGCCAAATGCACCCACAAGGAACTGCTTTCAGCGCATCAGGTTAACTCAAATCCTGACACCACCACCACCACCCCAATGCCAGTGGAGGCTGGAGGACCAAATTGGCTAAGTGCTGTTAGTCACTACTTTGCAACCAAAAAGAGACCCACCCCTCCAGTCTTTGATTGTCTCTTCCCCTGCTCCTAACACTGGGGCAGGAACCATGCCTACACATTCCAAATCATTAAAGCACACGGATATTTCAAGGGGTGGAGGCCTCTGGAACACAGACTGGCGTCGTATCTAAATGCTTTGTTCCCCTATAAAAAGCATGGCTGGATTCCTGATCCTGGCTGCAGCCTTTTAAAAAGCCATCATAAGGGCAGGTCACAGCAAAGCAGCTTGACATCTTTCCTCTGCATGTAGACTTATGGAATGCTATGGAATGTCTGATCCACCATCACCCATCTTGCATTTTGGTGTCCAAGACTCAGCCAGGCTGAGGCTTGCTCCACACCCATTCA